GGCAATCCTTGACACCAGCCACTCAAGCCAAAGCTCCCAGACTGAAGTGGATTTCAAAGCTCCTCTTCAGTCCGAAAGTGACACGGGATACCACAGTAGTTAGGAAACAGCTCAGAACATTGGTACCCCTCACTGTCCCCAAAACATGACCCCAAATGTGACTAATGTACAGATCCTAAACCTTCCCTAGTAAGGCCTTTCCGGTCCCCCATGATTGGTCCAGGAGAAGGGCGGTCAGCAGGGACATGAGGAGGGACCCCTTTTGGTTTTCCTGCCTTCATACGCTGAGAGAGCTCCCCTTGCACTGAGGAGGAAGTTGGCAAGTATGGGAGTAAGTCATGAGGCAAGCTCCCTTTGCGAAGCAGCTGCTCACAGATAAGACCTGGTCGTCTTTTTCCTTTTGCAGAGTCCCCCTGATTCCTTTGGATGGCGCTCAGCGCCCAGCCTACTCTACTCGGCCTATCTATTCTACCAACGTTCATGCAACTGGATCACAGCGGAGTCGAAGACTAATGTACGTGATGTCAACACCAATGCCGACCACCGGCATACACCAGGTACGTTCTCTCTCCTCCCCTCATCACACCTTGATCCCCTCTGCATGCGCCTCCTACCCGAAGACCACAATCACCATCACCTGCCTGCGCCCCCGCAGCACAACTATGGCTGCTGTGCGCCCGCTGCCTCAGCAGCGCCCCTCACCTCAGCGCCCGTGCGCACGTCCAACCGGCTGCGCCCATGCAGACACTAGCGCAGCAATGCAGCAGCGTGTCCGCATTGCCTGCCAAGGCCTGAATGCCTCACCAGGGGGCACGCACTTTCGTATATGGAAAGTTTCCGCTGCTGGTTGGCCTGACCAGGCATGGGGGGGGGGGGCAGTAGCTTGCCTCTGGCCCCAAGTGTCTGCGCCCAGGCCCAGTTTCAGATACTGGCCTGGGCCTCGTGCAGTTAGGCACGTCCAGGCAGTCACCCAGCCTCCAAGTGCTTGCAGCATTTTCATTGGCTCGCGGCACACGTGTGACGACAATGCTGCTTCCTCATCGGCCCGTAACCAGTCCGTGATGTGTTGGCCTCACAGAGCGTGTGCCCAAGGCGCAACCAACTGCCCCCTGGGGTCAACTATACAGCGCAGCCCTTTTGCTTCTGGAAGAGCCTGGAGGCTCACGTCGCTCTGTAACCAACTGCCTTGCTGCAACTGTCTGAGTACCCACACAAGGAAAAATATCGGAAACAGGCCTCACATGGATTTTCAGGCCCACCTTCACTTAGGGCGGGCACGGGCTTACTAGGGGGCGCAGCCCAGAACACTTGTATGTCTGATAAAGGCCCCGCGAGGGCTCATTCCTCGCGTAATTGTGCAGTTGCTACTTCACGTATGGCGAACAGACCAGGTGCGATGCACCGATGAAAGTGGACCACTTGCAAGACTGGGTGCGGCGGGAGTGCTGTGGGAGCACGGAAACCGCGCGGAGGGCAGTGGAACGTGCGTCTATTCTTGCAGTGGGCCTGACTATTCTTCCAGAGGGCCAGACTATTTGCATGCGGGAACGGGGGGAGAAACGGACGGAAGGGCAGCGCAAGTGGGTATGGAACTCACCTGGGGGGCAAGGGACTCCGCCACTAGGGACAAACCCGATACACACGGGCAATCTGCTGTGCATAATGCCAAAGATCATACAGCCGCTGTATGACTTCCCGGCTGGAGACCGAGCGTTGGACTGTAGTGGGCAAGACGTTGCGTTTTCTGGCTGCAGAGGTTTTCGTTTTTTTGCTTTTAAATAACAAAATCAAATGCGAATTTGTGAGGACCTCTAGAGGTCCCCACAATTTGCTGAACCCTGCGGCCCAGCGGGCTGCTGACAAATACTACACTATTTGTGATTTCGCTGGGGATGGGGGGAAAGTGTGACTGCAAAACGACATCAGGTTTTGTGATTTTAAGAATTAGACCCCTAGTGTGAGTATGTCCTGAGGGCAGGCTCACACTGCGGTACCAAATCCGCATAATCCCCAAAAAATAGTGTTGAGGGGCAGTCAAACCCAGTTAGCATTTTCGCAAACTACTCATTCATGAACCCTTTTGTCAGAGGCCTGAGAGGCCTGAGGGGCCGCAGGGTTGGGAATTTGCAGTAACCGCCGGAGGTTACC